AGGGAAGGAGAAAGAGTGGGAGAGAAACATCAATGTGTGGTTGCCTCTCATGTGTTCCCTACTGGGGACCTGGCCTGCAACCCAGGCATGTGCCCTGACTGGGAATTGAACTAGTGACCCTTTGCTTCACAGGCCTGTGCTCAATCCACTGAGCTACACCAGTCAGGGCTGATTTTTCTAAATTTTAGTTGTAATTCTAGTTTGGTCCTAGGAGGAGGTGAGTGTTCCTGACACCTACTCTCCTGCCACCTTGGATCCCCCTTTTTGATTTTTAAAAAATTAGATTTATTGAGGTATAATTTGTAAATAACATTCACCCAGTACGTGCAGTCATGAAACCACTACGACAGTCGAGACGTGGAATACTCCCGCCACTCCAGAACCCTGCCCTGTGCTCCTGTACAGTCAGTCCCTTCTCTTGCTTCTGGGAACCACTGATCTGTTGTCCGTCCCTGTAGTTCTGCCTCTTCCACAGTGTCACATAAAATAGAATCATACGTATATAGTCTTTTGGGTCTCACTTCTTTCATTTATCATAGTTATGTTATTGCATGAATTGGTGATTCATTACATTTTATTGCTTAGTAGCAGTCCATTATATTGGATATACCACATTTTGTTTATTTATTTACCAGTTGAAGGACCTTTGGGTTGTTTCCCTTAGGGGGTTATCATGAGTAAAGTGGCTGTGAACATTTGTATATATATCTTTGTATATATTTTTATTTCACTTGGATAAGTATTAGAAGTAGGATTACTGAGTGTATAGTATGTGTTTGCCTTTATAAGAAACAGCTTTACTGTTTTCCAAAGAAGTGTATAGTTTTGCATTGCTTCCAGCAGTGTGTGAGAGTTATACTTGCTCCATATTCTCATTAGCATTTGATATTGTTGGTCTTTTTAAATGTTTTGTTATTTTAGTAGTCCTGTAGTGGTATCTTACTGTGTTTTTTAATTTGCATGTTCTTGATGACTAGCAGTGTTGAGTATCTGTTCATATGCTTTTAGTTGCCTTTCATGTTTTCTCTTTAATGAAATTTCTTTTGAAATCTAGCCCATTCAGAATACTGGGTTGTATCGCTGCTCGGCCTTTGGCTAAGATCAAGTGCAGAATACTGGGTTGCCTTATTGAGTTATAATCATAAAGGATTAAATTTTTTATGATACACAATACTTGTTTTGGAAATATTTTCTTCCTGTATGTGATTTGTCTTTGGGGACACTTGACATTATCTTTTGAAAAGTTTTTAATTTTTTAAAGTTTATTTTATTGATTATGCTATTACAATTGTCCCATTTTTTCCTCCCCCTTATTGTCCTCTGCCCTGCACCCCATCTCCCACCAGCATTCCCCCACATTAGTTCATGTCCATGGGCCATACATATAAGTTTTTTGGCTTCTCTATTTCCTGTATATTCTTAACCTTCCCCTGTCTACTTTGTACCTACGATTTATGTTTCTTATTCCCTGTACCTTTTGCCTCATTCTCCCCCCTCCATCTTCCTACTGATAACCCTCCATGTGATCTCCATTTCTGTGATTCTGTTTTTGTTCTGTTGTTTGCTTAGTTTGCTTTTATTTTTGTTTTAGGTTTGGTTGCTGATAGTTTTGATTTGTAATTTTACTCTTCATATTTTTGATCATCTTCTTTTTCTTAGAAAAGTCCCTTTAACATTTCATATAATAAGGGCTTATTGACGATGAACTCCTTTAACTTGACCTTATCTGGGAAGCACTTTATCTGCCCTTCTATTCTACATGACAGCTTTGCTGGATAGAGAGAGTCATCTTGAATGTAGGTCCTTACCTTTCGTGCTTTTGAATACTTCTTTCCAACCCTTCTTGCCTGCAAGGTTTGTTTTGAGAAATCAGCTGACAGTTTTATGGGAACTCCTTTGTAGGTAACTCCTTATCTCTTGCTTTCGAGGTACTCTCCTTATCTTTCATCTTCATTGATATAATTATGCTGTGTCTTGGTGTATGCTTCCTTGGATCCAACTTCTTTGGGACACTTTGAGCTTCCTGAACTGCTTGGAAGTCTACTGCCTTTGCCAGATTAGGGAAGTTCTCCTTCATTATTTTTTCAAGTAAGTTTTCAGTTTCTTGCTCTTGTTCTTCTCCTTCTGGCACCCGTATGATTTGGATGTGGAACATTTAAAGTTGTCCTGGAGGTTCCTAATTAAGCCTCTCTTCATTTTTTTGAATTTTTATTTCTTCATTCTGTTCTGGTTGAATGTTTATTTCTTCTCCAAATTGTTGATTTGAGTCCCGGTTTCCTTTCTTTCACTGTTGGTCCCCTGTATATTTTTCTTTATTTCAATTTGTGTAGCCTTCACTTTTTTTATCTTATTTTGTGACCATACTCAACAATTTTTGTGAGCATTCTGATTACCAGAGTGTTGAACTGTGCATCTGATAAATTGGCCATCTCTTTATTGCTTAGTTCTGTTTTTGGAGTTTTGATCTGGTCTTTCATTTGGGCCATATTTCTTTGTCTTGGTGCACCTGTTATGTTGCAATGGTTGGAGCCTTAGGTATTTGCCAAGGCTGGGGTGACCAGTTTTGCTGCATGTGGCATTGCATGTTGGGGAGGGATCAGAGAGGGAACAATGCTGTTTACTCAGCTCTCTGGGGCTTTCAGTCACTTCCTTGGCTACTCACAAGCAAATTGGGCCCTTATGGTTCTGATTCCCAGGTGAGTGGGTTTGTGTATGTTCTAGGACCCTGTGGTCTCTCCAACCAACTCTTCTGTGAGGCTGGGAGTTTCTCTCACCACCTCGACTCCCACAGACTTTGTAGCAAGAGATTTTGAGGCTTCCTCTTCCGTTCTGGAACCGTAGGTTGTGCAGTCTATTTTGTTTCCCGGTAGTTCCTCCCGGTTTATCCTCACACAAATATGGGTCCACCTGTCTGCCCTGGTCCTGTAGTCGCCACCTTGCAGTGCATCCTTTCAACCCTGGCTGCCTGTCTCCATCCCTTCTACCAGTCTGGATGAATGTTTCTTCTGTAACTCCTTGGTTGTTGGACTTCCATACGGTTCGACTTTCTGGCAGTTGTGGTTATTTGTTATTGTCCTTTTTTGGTTGTGTGAGGAGGCAAAGTGTATGTATCTACCTGCACCTCCATCTTGGCTGGAAGTTGAAAAGTTTTTAATTTTGATGGTGTTTAGTTTATCACTTCTTTATTTTATGGTTTGTGTTTTCTCCAAGAATTCTTTGTCTAACCCAAGCCCATAAAGATTTATCCTGTATTTTCTTCTATGCTGTTTATAATTATAGCTCTTATATTTCAGTTATTGTTCTTTTTGGGTTAATTTTTGTATATGGTGTAAGTTAAGGATTAAGGGTGTTTAGCTTATGGATATCTAGTTGTTCCAGAACCATTTGTTAAATAGATTATCTTTTGCATAATTATGGAATTATCTTGGCACTTTTGTTAGATCATTGATTTGGGACCTTTCTTTTTTCCTACTGTAAGCCTTTGCTAACTGATGATCATTAGCACCAATTCAGTACCAGCAGAATCTCCAATTTGGAGTATGGTGAGGAAGGAAACTTCATTCAGTACACACAGCTCAGTAGTGATACAGCACAGCTATGGAACAGCTCAATTATGAGACAACACGACTGTCAGGCAGCCCTAGAGTGACTTGGAATGGTGGCCCTCTGGTTTCACTCTGTTGGGGATGGGGTAATTTGCATTTTTAGTCTTGGATGGAAAGGGATGGTGTATTCCCCAAGCCAGAGGGGAGTCGACTTGTATATTGAGAAGGACCCAACCCTGGTCCCTGATTGGTATGTTCTCATGCACATGCGGACTCCAAATCCTGACAGTTTGATTGGTCTGAAAAGCATTGTCCTGATGGGTCAGAGTGGGGCTGCTCTGATTGGTTGGTGAAGATGCCAGTGGGGATATAGTCACATAGCTTCATTTGGATAGGGAATGTCTCAGTCCTGTTGGTTAAAATATGATTTCGGGAACTCCTTTCAAGTGTTAGCTCAGATGGCAGGAACACAATGCAGACAGGCAGTTGAGTGCAGGTTTCTCCCTGAAGTGTAGCCTGTGTGAGAGGCCTTTGTTTAGCAACAGCTGCTGGAGTGTTTCTAAATTTGAGCCCAGTTAGCCACCCAAGACCTTCTTGGTAGGTATCTTCTTTCTTGGAGTCAACACATTTAATGTTCCTTGAAGCGCTACTTTAGCTGCATCCCACAGATTGTACTTTTAATTTAGTTCAAGATAATTTTCTAATTTTCTTCTGATTACCTCTTTCATTCATGGGTTATTTAGAAATGTGTTGTATATTTTCACATTTTTTTCTTATTGATTCCTGCTTTAATTATTATGATCAGAGATCAAACATGGTATGATTTTAGCCCTTTTAAATTTCTAAGAAAGATTTGAGGAAGAGTGGGAGAAAAAGAGAGAGAAACATTGATCAGTTGCCTCTCACACACACCCTGACCTGGGGCAGCACCCACAAGCTAGGCATATACTCTGACTGGGAGTCAAACCTGTGACCTTTCAGTTTGCAGGACGATGCTCCAACCAACTGAGCCACACTGGCCAGGGCCTTTTCCATTGTTCTTTATCTAAAAGTGACAATATTCCAAATTATTACTTACATGCCATATATATATATTTTAAAGATTTTATTTATTTATCTTTAGAGGGGAAGGGAAGGAGAGAAATATCAATGTATGGTTGCCTCTTGTGAGAACCCTGCTGGGAACTGGCCTGCAACCCAGGCATGTGCCCTGACTGGGAATTGAACCACGATTGTGTGGTTTGCAGGCCCGCGCTCAATCCACTGAGCTACACCAGCCAGGGCTCCATTTATATTTTTTAAAAGGTAATGAATTACAGTTGCACTTTACCCTATTGTTAAGAATTATTTTACTGCATATATATTACTGGATAATACTGTGTTAGTATTTGTTGTGTTTGCCTTATTACAGCCACAAACCCATAAGCTATTCTCCTCTTCTTATGTTTTTCATAGGTCTAAGGTCTGGCAAACTTGGTGAACAATGTGAAGCAGTTGTTCGCTTTCCCAGGCTCTTTCAAAAGTATCCATTCCCTATTCTCATCAATTCTGCATTCCTAAAGTTAGCTGATGTTTTCAGAGTTGGGTAAGTCTTTTCTCAAATCCTTGGTGTCCCAAAGTACTTTGTTCGTATCTTTGTTTTGTTTTGTGGTCTTTATTCTCTTTGACTCATAGGACTTCCACATGTTGGTTACCATTTTAGTGGACACACAGGGTAATGTGTAATGCTTTTTGGTAGAAGATTTAATGACATTTTAAGCAAAATTGAAGGGTGTAAACTAGAGAGTACCTATTTCTTTAGGTAACAGGATAAGTCAAATTAGGACAACCTTAATATGTTATGTGTTTTCAAAACACCTGTGGCTTTGTACTGATTATTTGGAGAAGTTTCTGATTTTATAGCTTATTTTATAACAGATTACAAGTTACTGTGAAGTGCCTAGAACATGTAAGCACTGAATAAAATACCCATTTCTCTTTTTTTTCCCCCATCAGTCCTGGCTCATTTCTTTCTACCATCCCCCAAGTGCTCATGTGGTTACACACACACCAAATCAGACCTGAAGGAGAAAAGATGTTGTAGAATTAGCTCGAGAGAGGAGGAAGGCAGTCTGACCTCCTGGCCTTGGTTGGAATGTGATGAGGTTCAGTTCTGCCCCAGGGCTGCTTGTGTCACTGCCCCTTTGGAGTCTTGCAGTCTTGCTGACTGCTTGTGCTTGGTACCCACCTGAAACACTATAGACTGTAACGCTTAGTGATGAGACAAGTGAGATCGAAAACATCTGCCAGTGCTACAGATTGAATATTAATGGTGTCATTTAGATTCCTAACTAAATATTACTTTCCTAAAATGGTCTAATTTATTTTATCTCTGGTTTTTGTAGAAACAATTTCCTGAGGCTCTGTGTTCTCAAAGTTACTCAACAAAGTGAGAAGCATTTGGAGAAGATTCTAAATGTGGATGAATTCGTGAAGAGGATTTTTTCTGTGATTCATAGTAATGATCCTGTAGCGAGAGCCATCACACTCCGGTATATTGCGTTGCTATTATGATTCACCACAAGATGTTTGAGTTATAATTATGTAACCAATATATTTACTTTTTCATTTTGAATATTCAGAATTTATTTTTGTTTTTTCAACTAGGACTCAATGAATGCAAAAATGTCGTAACTGTTCTAACCTGTAAATGCTTCTCAGTTATCACCTATGATACTGTTTTGGTTGTACATTGTTGCCTAACTTGTTTTTGGAACATTCTGTAGGTAGATGTTCTGATCCAAGAGCTAGGACCTAAATGTAGCTTAGCTTTAGCTCATTTTGACCTTCCTGATCTTCTTGTTCTTACTGTTTTGTGTCAGTTTCCTGTACTCATCTGTAGTTACCCACTCATTTTTGTACACAGTAATTTATATTTGAACTCCTTGGAGAATGCCAGATATAACCACTATAGTTTCTTCAGTCTTTTCTTTCTTGGCATTTAAAATTTTTAAATTTCGTTAGAATTTTAAAAAATTGTAAGCTTTATGTTCAGCTTGAACCATGTTCTCTTCTTAGCTGTGCTGTCTGTGGAATCATGTATAATTCGGGGATTTTTTTTTAAATTTATATTCCTGAATTATAGGGGTCATTTCTTTTTTATGTTTATGAATTTTATAATTTTTAATGCTTTTTGGCACTTTATGAACTTTTTCAATTAATGTATATTCATTATATAATTCGATAAAACAAACTAGAGAAATGTATTAATACATATATGCTGCCTTAAATAAAGTCCACATGAACACGAGGCGAGTCATAAGTAGCCGTGCTGTGTACTCGCGCACGTATTTCTTTACCCTCCCCCAAGGACTTTTTTCCCACCGCTTTTATTTTTGCAGGGCTTGCTTTGCACTTGCCCTTTCCAGACATCACTCCTTCTAACCACCAAGTCCAGGGTGTCACTTCTCCCCAGAGTGTCCGTATTTGCGCATCAGGAAACGGGTTCTTCCCTCTTGTTCAGAATTAAGTACTTTCGTGATTCATATTTTAAAGATGTGTTATTTTTTACCTATTACTTTAGACTTATAGATTAAAACGAGTGGAAGAAGATGGGAAATACTCATTGCATTGGAAATGTAGTGCTACAGAATATTTCTAATATTAGCAGAAATATTTCAGAAAGGAGTGTCATATGGGATTATGCCTTTGTATAAAAGGCCAAAGCCTTTTTATATTACATAGTAACAATCTGTTCATCAAGATACAGTAATATTAGCCTGGTCTAATCTTTTCTTGTATAAAATACTAGCTTAATAGCCATTTGTTATTAACATATTTTGAAAAATAATCCATCTAAGTTGTACATTTTCTAAAGTTAAGTAATTTTAGAACTCTCCTTTCTAATTGAAATTAAATTACATATTTAGTCCATTTTAATATCTTGCTTATAAGAACTCTACTGTTTGTGTCCAATCAATTATATCTCCATATGATAATTAGGAGATGATATGTCATGTTGGAAGGTAACTCAGGACATTGACTTTGAGGAGGGTTGTCATTGTAGGAACTCTGTTTTGTTTATTGAAATACTTTTATAGCCTTCTAAAATCCCTGCCGTTCTGCTGAGAAGATTTTTCAAGCTTACCTTTTCTATAGTTTGTTACAAATAATAGATTTTTTCTTTTCTGAATTTATGATTTTATTATAAAACAGACTGTGTTTTTTTTTTTTCAAATTCTTCCTGGACCTTGTAGATTCTGATATAAGTGCCAGGGAGCATCCTTTGCATGAGTTTTTTGATCTGAGGATGGGTTTGAAAATCATGGTACCAGTATTTACTGATGTAGTGAAATCTTACTTTTTTTACTTTGTGGATGTTAAGTAAGACCGTTAATGCTTTGTTAAACTGGACTTCTTTATGCAGCACTGGAAAATTGATATTTTAATGCTTTAATAATTTAGAAGTTTCTTTTCTGGGTTGTGTTTGATACCTAGGATGTGCTTCAAGATGATTTTTAAAAACTTTGCTTGTATTAGATATAATCTATCTTAATTTTTCTGACATTGAAGTATGGAATAGTGGTTAGAAGTTCAGTCACTGCTTGATTCCTAACATTGACACTTTATTAACCTGAGATTATGGAATTACCTACAAACCTTAGTTTTAGTAATCTAGCTTTGCATTGCTTCTTCCTTTCCTGACCAAGAGTTTATTGTATTTTCATGCTTCTTGCTTTCTCTGTTTCTGTAGGATGTTGGGGAGTCTGGCGTCAATAATTCCTGAGAGGAAAAATGCTCATCATAGTATTCGTCAGAGTCTGGATTCACATGATAATGTAGAAGTCGAAGCTGCTGTTTTTGCTGCTGCAAACTTTTCTGCACAGTCAAAGTAAGCTTAGGCCTTTCTGTCACTTGGCTCTTCAAGAAGAGCTTTTGAGAGAATAGCTCAGCAGTATGTATAAATACTAAGCAATACAGAAAAATGTAAATGACAAGGTGTGTTTTCCAAGAAGGTTTACGTCATGTTGGGGAAGCAAACCTTAAATACACAGAACAGAATAGTTAAGTACAAAAATTGGCATTAAGTATAAATGAAATAAGTTTCCAGAGGGACAGGATCAGTGTAGATTATAGTAGCTGGGGAAGGCGTTATTGGATAGCAGAAGCTTTTGTTTGCTTAAGAGCCTTCCCCAAACATACGTAGCCCTAATACAGAACTGCCTCTTTCTTACTGTCTTCTCAGGTTAAGTTGTTTGGCAGTAGGGCTGTACACAATTTGACAAAGACAGTAGTAACTTGAGTTGAAACCAATTTTAACCTGTTTGGGAAGTCATGTTCTTACTGAGCCATATATAGTAAAACATTGTCTCTGGGTGGTAAGATCATATCTAACTTTTATTTTCTTTTTTATAAATTTCTCCATATCCTGTCTTGAGCAAGTTTTGATTTTATAATCAATCAGATAAATATTAAATTTATTTTTTAGAATCAAAAAGAGCATTTCCATTAAGATCCTCTGCTAAATTTGAGAAATTGAAATAATCCATTTTCTTTCTTCACCTTTTATTTATGTGCATATTCTTCTCTTTGGCTGCTTTTATCAGACCTTAGAAGTCCAGGATTACTCATTGGAAAAGGAGAGTAAAGAATAGAAAGCATATCATTTTTAACTTACTACTCAAAATCAGTAGGTGTGGCAGTAATTGAGGAGGTGAAATATCTGAGTTAAATACAGTTTCTATTTGTGCTTTTGAAAATTGGAAATTTTTTATTATTGAGAGTATCATTGATATTGAGAGAACTTTTAAAAATTGCTTTTATTGACAAGGAGGTGTTATTATCTAGTAATTATCATCTGATTAGCACTGTCAGATTAAATATGTACAGTGACTCCAAAAGTAGTTTTCTAAATGTAATTAATAAATGATAAGTTTAAAATTTAGTGATTAAATTTATTAGAATCATATTTGGTTCAGTTTTTCTCTTCTGTTTATCAGAAGCTAATTTTAATCAACAGTGGAATTTTTTATCTGTCTTGGGAAATGATTAAGAGTAAGTAACAGAAACAGCAAGATTCTTCACTTAAAGAATTAATGACCAATAAACATTTAAATTAACATTTATATAGAAGCAGTTTTTGATATACCAGTCTTCAGTAAATGCTTATAATTTGTAATATTAAAAAATACCAAAATTAGTACAGTGGACAGCCTGAAGGGCTCATCTAACTGTATTAGAGTGTGAAATTAACAAAAACCTCTTTCCCAGAGAAAGATGGATGACCTGGCCTGAGATCAGGTATCTCAACTAATACCGATGGGTTTTTAGCATCTCAGTTTACTAATTTTTGGATCTTCAACAAATGAGAATAACTGGCCACATCAGGCCTTGAGAATTTAATTCTGCTCTTTCCCTGTCTACTGCCATAACCACATTTAACTTGTTCTAAAAAAGGTTAAGTTTTATATTTTTAAAGAACTAGTTCTCTGAGTCACAAAATCTGAGTTGAAATCCAAGCCCAAGTGCCTTCAAAAGGGGTCCGAGGAGCACTTTGACAGTGCTAGAGGAGAGATGCCCTCTAGCAGCGACTGTGGTGAACTGGGTTGAGAAAATGAGTCTTAAATCTCTTTTTCAAAAAGCCAACTCATTCTTTAAGTATAAGAAAAATAATTTACATATGAATTGTATTTTAGAATACAATATTTTAAATTCTAAAACAAAAGCAATAAAATTTTTTGAAATTTTATCAAAACAGTTCAAAATTTTATTGCAAAGCACAACAAAGTTTACTTATTGATCTATTTCTGCATGGGCATAAGGAAAAGCTTCATGATTTCAGAATTATGATGCATTTAATGATAACAAGGTTACTGAGATTATAATGGATGTAGTCAGAGAGAGTAAGAGCACAATAGAATAATTGAGAACAAACTGAGTCTCAGGAAACACATTTATACATGAATCTATCATAGAAAGTTCTAGCAAACAAAAGAATACACAGTCATGCATTCACAGTTGTGAATAAATAGCTGTCTTCAAATAGCACGTAGCCTCTGGAAAACTCCACTGTTCACTTGTGAGAGCATTGATTTGAAAATGACAAATCATACCATAATAGCAGGAAATATTTTATTTAGACATCCATTGACATGTCTAAAGCTACTACTGAGGGGAAGTAGCTTATGTCTTTTTTTTTAAGTATGTTTTAAAGACTTTATGTATATGTTTTCAGAGAGAAGGGAAGGGAGGGAGAAAGAGGGAGAGACAACATCAAGGTGAGAGAGATACATCAGTTCGTTGCCTCTTGTATGTACCCCGACCTGGGACTGAACCCACAACCCCGGCCTGTGCCCTGAGCAGGAATTGAAACAGTGACCTTTTACTTTGCAGGATGATGCCCAACCAACTTAGCCACATCAGTGAGGGCAGTAGGTTATGTCTTACATATCATTTACTATGGATAAATAAGCCAGGTTTGATCCTATTACCTCTTATTATATTTCTTTACATACTATATTTTATCCCATATATTAATGTTATTAATATTTTTGCAACATTCTGTGATATTTCTATTGCCATTGAATCAAAAGCAACACCATGGAAAATGCACATATATAATGTTATAAATACATGGCTAATTAAAATAGTTCGGCTTTTATAGTAAGATTCTATCTGTGTTTCCTACTGTATTTTGTTGCTTATGTGATCAGCTAGTGTGTTAAAAACCTTTTTTTTAATTAAAAGTATATTCTAAAACATAATAGATTGAGATAGTAACCTTGAATCTTTCAGGCAGTATGACTCAGTGATGCAAATTGCACCAACACCCATAAATCAGAGCATCTTTCCTTGAATACCAAGTGAGAACAGTGTTGGCATAAACCCATATGCTGCTTGGAGTTTTGGTTTCAATTGCATTTCTTACCTCACCCCCAGCACCCTGCCTTTGGAGCATTAGTTACACTTTAGAGTGTATATTGGCATTTCTCCAGTGCTAATTGTGTTGTGTTTCTTTTAAGTCCTTAGAAAATCTTAATTTAATTATTTGGTTTTAAAGTTTTTGCTGTTCTCTCTTTCCAAAGGGATTTTGCTGTAGGAATCTGTAACAAAATTAGTGAAATGATTCAAGGTATGTATGCTTTATTTAGTATTATTAATTGACTTAATAGGATTTATATTACTAATAATAGCTGCTAACATTAAGTACTTACTATGTGCTAGTCACTGTTTACTCATTCATTCAACTAATAATTTATGAATGAATGGTCAAAGTTTTCTAATGCCATCTTCCATACTTAGCTTCCTGTGTGTTAGCCCCATTTAAAAGGGAGCTCAGGAGCTACGGCGCTGCACAGTTCTAGAGAACACCACATCTTTTGTATTTTCGTATTTTTGTAAATGACATCCTTTTGAATTGTGCAGCTTGTCAGACTTGCATAGGTAACACTATTATGTTTATTTTATAGAAAAGGAAATAAAATGACTAAATTGAAGATGAAGATACAGTGGTTGAGTTTTATCCTGTTCCCCTTTATCCCTGTGTCTTTTTTCCTGCCATTCCAAAAAGGCTTTCCTACAGAAAGGGCTGTCTCTAGAAGGAAGCATCATGCATCATAGAGCAGGTTTTTATTGAATCCTGCTCTTTCAGACATGATCTCAGCAAAGAAACAAACGGCATACTTGAATTAAGATAATCCAAGGAGGGTGTCATGAAGGAACCATTTACAAACATATGGGCAGGGTAAACTATAGGTGATAATGTAGTCCTGCACCCCTTTAGGATGTAGGGGAGGGAATGGTTAGCAGAAAGCTGGAGTCGTGTCAAGAGGGTCACTTTGAAAGACTGACCGTCAGTGAATATGATATGACCCTACATAGAGGGAACCAGGGAACAAATACTCTGACTTCATTCTTCTCCCTCCCATCTCCTGGGGTTCTGTGCTTTGGCCAAACCCAAATAGAGGCCAAATTAGCAAGGGAGTTTGTTGATGTAAGCCAAAGTTGAAATGCTATCATATGTTCACACTAAGAGTTATTTTGCAGTGGGAAAACTAGTGATTTGCAGAGTATAAATTAGCTTTTGGCATATATGTAGTATATTACAAATGACAATTTTTGACCTTTATCACTGCAAAACCCTGCTGTAGAAGAAAAGGGTTTTGTTTGTTTAATGCTAATTTTGATAGGAAAAGATGCATTGCCATTAATTCTTATGTAGTTCCAGCTGTGCATGCAGTAAAGAACAGCATTGCTACGCAAAATTCACAGAAATTCAAAACCATTCCATGCATACTCTGTTCACATCTTGATTTTGACATAATGTTAAAGGAAATCATTAAAATTGTAAATATCATGAAATTTTCGCCATTGAGTATGTGTGTGTCTCGAGGTCTGTCTAGAAGGTATCCAGCCATGTACCGTGAAAAATAGAGACATTTATTGAAAAAGATACAAGACACAAGAAACATTGTACTTACAACAGTGATGCCTCTGTCCCTTTCAAAGTAGGCACCTTAGGACCTCACACACTTCTCCCAATCACCATTAACTCCCTGTCGTATTTTCCTGAATCTCATCAGTGGTCTGAAATCTCTTCTCTTTCAAAGGTGATTTTAGTTTTGGGAAAAGCCAGAAGTTGCAAGACATCAAATCTGGCCTGTAGGGGGGGCTGAGTCCCCTGGGTGATAGGATGTTTTGCCAAAAAAGTCTGCACAAGACATGATGCCAGAGAGGACACAGTGTTGTGACGAAGCCCGTCACCAGTTGCATAAAGCTGCAGGCTTCAGAATCATCCGAATAGTTGCAGAGGAATGTTCAAGCTTAATGCAAAATTTGATGCAGATTTGTTGTTCTACTCAGTCATTTTGAATGTGACAGCCACACAGCACATAAGCTCACTCAACCTTGTCTACTGCCCCCACTGACTAGTACAGTGAAGTTAACATTGTTCATGCATGCATATTCTAGCCCACTCTCTGGCTGCCAGGTTACAATGATGTCGCACGAACCATTCTCGTTATTTTAACAATGGCTGCACTTTTTATATACGAGACAGATCTCGTATATAAACATATTTATACCTTTTTAGTATGCTATGAGAAGAAATAGGCAGCAAAATGAGTTTGCTTTTCACTGTGCCTTTTAAAGGCATTTTCTCCTATTGGATGTGGTTGTATAGTCACTGAACAATTAATGTTAAGATAAATACTTTTGGAAAAAACTATTGTACTGATTAAACATAATATTAGTATACTTTTTGTTTTTAAATGGTTATTGTGCTAATTGAGTCAGAACGTTTACACGTGAATTGTTATCAAGGAGGATGATCACACATCTTGAGAACCCTATTTGTACCTAGGCTTAGCCACACCTGTAGACCTGAAGCTGAAGTTGATCCCAATCCTGCAGCACATGCACCACGACGCGATCCTGGCCTCCGGCGCTCGTCAGCTTTTACAACAGCTGGTCACATCTTATCCTTCCACCAAAATGGTGATCGTTTCTTTGCACACTTTTACTCTGCTTGCAGCTTCATCTTTGGTGGATACACCTAAGCAGGTAGTTTCAATTTTTTTTAACTGCCTTTTCTTCACTAATCTTGCATATTAAGTATATGCTAAAAGATAAATAACTCATTAACTCATACATGTTGATAATATTAAGATACCCTTTCTCTAATAAAGATCTGTTTAATTTCCTTGTGCTTGTTTTTGCCTTCTCTGTATTCACATCACTGATTTTGGGGACTCCTTGAGGAAATGAGGTAGAGATGGGTACGTGGCAGAGCATGGAGCATAAAGAAAGAAAGGATTGAGTCTTGAAGGCCAGGCCCTGTGCTTGAACCTTATGAATTAAATAATGGTATCGTTTTATACACAAAGAGAGCAAGGACTAAACATGGTAGCCCTGATAAATGACAGGGCTGCACTTTGAAATGAGTCCTGTCTTAAGTCTGTAAATTTCACTAAGCAACATTGCTCTCCTAATGGTAATTTCAGTGACAGTATTGTTAACTATGTGGCTTATTGCCTTTGTAGATTCAGCTTCTTTTGCAGTATTTGAAAAATGACCCCAGGAAAGCAGTAAAGAGGCTTGCTATTCAAGATCTGAAATTACTTGCAAATAAAACACCACATACTTGGAGTAGGGAGAACATCCAGGTACGTAAAACTTTGAACATTAATAATTTATATAGAAAAATACAGCATTTTAATAAATTGTTTTGCTTTAAATTTTTATGTCATCTTTGTCATCTTCTAAGTGTTCAGATTTGAAAAATTCTAAGAACATTGTTGAATTTACAGCAGAAGTTATACGTGGCAAAATAAATGCTTGAAACTTCTATCATTTAAAGTTTGTTTGTTTTAGTGAATTAGACTTGCCTCTCAATTTCTTGTTAATTTTCACATAAGCAGCACTATCAGGCCAATTGAGAAGGCCAGTTAAATTGTTTATTTTATTCCTGTCTCCTTCAGTCAATTTAGGGAGAATAATTTTGGTGCTGCTATGATTTATTAAGGAGAAGATGCAAGATGGGTAACTTGGCAAAGTATATTTCTCCTTTTCACAGAGAGCAAAAGACATTCCTAAGTTTTCTTCTGTAAATAATATAAGAGCAGATCTCATTTTCCAGACTTTTACTATATTATTTTTTAATAGCATCTCTTAGGTTACATTACTATTTTGTTGTTTTTTCCCCCAAAATGTAACCCTATTTGTTTCCACATTACTGATAACAGATGCACCATTTTCTTAAAAATTCTATTTAAAGAGAAGTGGAAGATTGTTAGAATTTGCCCTTCATTTTCATAGATTTTATTATCTGTTGGTATCATTACACCTGTGGTATCACAAAAACCTTTGAATTTCAGATTATTAAAACTAAGCTGCTGTGTTTGTTTCTTTTATTGCAATTTTTCTAAATATATTTCAATATATTATAGATGGATAAGCACAAATATTTTAAGAAATAAGGGCAGTTGTTAGTTTTTGCATTTAGTAGATGAGCAAATTAGAGTTCTGAGACACTTAGTATGCTTAAGAAAGTTTCTTAAGAGGCTGTAATTAAGAACTGAATTAAAAGCACTTTTCTCATCTGGTGCTTTTTCTACTAAACAATACTGTCTTTCCAAGAAGAGAACGTGCCCAGTCACTTTAGTCGCGCTGAGGAACTTGTGCATAGAACCAAACCAAGGATGGGCATTGTATTGCTCCTTCTCATTGTTTTCCTTATTGTGAGACAAAGCATACATTCAGGAAAGTATGTTAAATGTATATTTAATAATCCAAGAATTGCACCTGAAAACCCCTATAGCCACCCTCCAGCTGGAAACAGAACACTGCAAGATCAGAACCCTCCTCCCCTCCCACCCTCCTCGATCAGAACATTAACACCTATGCAAAAGAAACCACTATTTTGACTTTTGTGATAATCATTTCTTTGCTCTTTATAACGTTACCATCTGTGTATGCTTTCCTAAAAGATTGCTGCGTTTTTGTTTCTTTTGCTCAACACCGTACTGGCGACATTCGTCTGTATGGTTGCGTGATTTTTCCTTTTAATTGCCAACATCTAGAATGATCAGACTTTTACATTTTTACCAATTTAGAAGTTGTCATTTTAATTTCTAATTCCTTGATTACTAAAGAATTTGGACATCTTTTCAGTGTTTATTGACCATTTGAATTCTCTCCTTTTGTGACATGGCTGTTCACATTTCTTGCCTATTCTTCTGTTGATTTGCAGTCATTCTGAATATATTATGGATACTCGTACTTACCCATATTTTTCAGACCATGAGATGCACATAGGTTTTAGAGGAGGAAAACAGAAAAAAAATTTTTGAAGCAAAAAAATGTGCTAAAATATTTAATAACATAAATAACAATATTTCACCAGTATAAATGTAAACAGAACTCAACAGCAGCATTAACGGCCATTATTCCTGCCAAATGGGACAGGGTGCATGTTATAGTCCAAAAAATATGCTGGTTGGTCCTTGGCAATTCTATACAAATTTCAGCAGCAGCCGGTCAGGTTCCACCTTTTTAAAAGAGTTGATAATTTAATTGGGATTGCAGTGAAAAGAAAAAAAAAACAATTTGTAAGACATCTATGTCTTTACAATGTTAAGTCTTCTAATGCATGAACATGTTATATCTTCATGTTTATTTAGGTCTCTTAAATGTGTTTTTTGCCTGACTTGGTTTTGTCTGATATTAACATAGCTACATTAGCATTCTCCTGGGTGTATTTACATGGTAGATTGTTTGCTGTCTTTTTACTGCCAGCCTTTATGCATCATTATGTTTCTGATATGTCTTATAAAGAGCATTTACCTGGATTATCTTTAATCCAGCCTGGAAGTCTTTGTCATTTTAAAATGGAGTGTTTGGTTCATTTACATTTACTATGATTTATTATATATTAAGGTTTAAATCTTATCCTATTTTTTGTATTTATGTCTCACTGTTCTTTCCTCTTTTTATTGGCTACCTTCTGGATTGTTTTTAATGTCTACCATTTATTTTTCTGTGAATAGTTTGGAAGTTCACAGACTTTTTAATTCTTTTAGTTATAAAAATTACAACATGCATATTTTTAATGAAAATCTAAAGTTAATTCTGTTACAGAGACCTTAGAACATACTTTAACTGCATTTACATCCCTCTGAACTTTTATATATTGTTGTCATGTGTCTTAATTCTATCTTTTCTTGTCAAACAATTTGTTACTGTTTTGTAAAGTCATTGTTTTTAGGACCTTCCACTGTCTTTGCTCTTCTTGCATCTCAGGCTCTGAGACATTTTTCCTTCTGCCTTTGGACAGTCCTTTAGAGAGGGTCTGCATTCCTCAGTATTTGCTTGTCTGAAAATGTCTTCCTTTTGCCCTCAGTCTTAAACTTTCATCGGCGATGGAATTCCCAGAGCATTGAGGATACCACTTTCCTCTCTAGTGGTTTCCGTCGTTACTGCTGAGAAGTAGCAGTATTCTTTCACGGGGAATTTTTTTCCTTTTGCTCTTAAAATTTTCTCTGTAATTTGGTTTTCTTCAGTTTCACTATGAAATGTCTGGTTGTGAATTTCTTCTATTTAAACTATGTAGGTGATTGAGTTTCTTGAATTATAAATTTGGTGTCTTTCAGCAGTCCTGGGAAATTGTCAGGCATAATCCCTTCAGATATTGCCAGTCTCTCTTGCTTTTCTCTCTGCATCTCCAGTTAAATGTGTGTTAGCCCTTCTCCATTAATCCCCCCATGTTCCTTATCTTTACATATTTCATGTCCTTATCTTTTTATGCTTTATTCTGGGTTTACTGATTATGTTTCCAGCTTATCTAAAATCTTTTCAGGTTTTGTCTCTGCTATTGATTACTATTGGTTCTGCGTTATACCCTTTTTCCTTGTATACTTGGTTGTTTTTACCTTGAGCTACTCATTTTCCTTGGAAAAGTATGTGTGGGGAATTCTTTAAGGCCCAGAATGAAAGTGCATTCCTCTAGAGGAGATTTGCATTTGCTTCTGTTCCATAGAGAGGTCATGTAGTGATATATGCTGTGGGGAAAAATAAAGTCAGGGAGGAGGATTAGTGAGTGTGGAAGATGGAGTTTTAAATAGGGCAGTCAGAAAAGCCCTCATTAAAGAGTTGACAGTTGAGCAAGGACCTAGAGGAGGAAGCACTGACTTCATGTGCTGCTGAATGGAGACTGTGCCAGCAGAGGGAGCAGCGTGAATGTGAGGTCAGTGTGTCTGTAGAAAAAGAGGGAGATGAGTAGGAAATGCTATTGGATGGGAGAGCAAGCAGATCATACAGGGCCCTTGAGTCCTTTGTAAGGATTTTAGCTTTTACTGTGCATGGCTTGGACTGCCATTGGAAAATTTGAAGCAGAGGACATTGTCTTTTTTTATTAACTGAAATATGTCTGATGTATAACATTGTGTCAATTAAGGTACACATGTTAATTTGATACACTTATACATTGTAATATGATTGTTATAGCAATAATTAGCACCTCTATCATATTATGTAATTATTTCTTTTTAGTGGTTGAATAATTGTGTTATAGTCTCGTAGCAAGTTTGAATGTTTTTGTCTGTATGCACTGTGCTACACGTTAGATCTACAGGACTGACTGACTACTTGTTGCAAGTTGGTTAAACCCTTGAACGTTATCTGTCCTATCCCTCCAGTTACCCACTCCCCAAGTCAGACAGAGAAAAACAAATACCATAATATATCACTTATAGAAACTGAAAAGGCCACGCTCATCAAAGCAGAGAGTAAAATGGTGGTTACCAGGGAATGGAGGGTGGGGGAGGGCAGAGGCTATTATCTGACTTGAGTTATAAAAGACTCTGGCCTAGCTATGTTGAGACTACATTGTAGGGGCACAAGGGCAGGAGCAGAACATTTAGGAGACGATTATAAATAAGCCAGTTAGAAAACAGTACAGTCACCTGAACCATGGATGTTGTGGGTTGTCAGCGAGAAGTAATATTCTGGGTCCAGCACAAATAACGCCCCTTCTTTATTACAAAATCATAAACATGTAATCCTGTAACATAACAATATCACACCGAAGCACACCATTTGACATTTTAGGTGAAATGTTCAAATTGCTGTCCATTTGTGTGAGACAGTGACGTACCCTACCGACCACACTCAAGCAAACCTTACTTCTGCTGGACTCTATTTTAAAGGCAAAGCTGACTGATTTACTGGCAGATATATGTAGAGGAGGAGAAAAGGATGACTGAGGTTTTGGGCTTCAAAAAATTTACTTGGTATGGGTAAAACGCTGGGAAGCTTATTTCTCTAGCAGATCAGGAAGGAGTTCAGTTCTGCACATAGTTTACAGTGTCACACGTCCAAGTGGTTGTGCCATGGACATACGGGTCTGGAGTTCAGTGACCAGATCTACCTAGTTATAGAAGATCTAGAAGTTGTAAGAGTCATCAGTTTATCAGAAGTATTATCAGAAAGCCAATAGGGAAAAAACGGATTCATTTGAAATACAGGGTGGGGCAAAAGTAGGTTTATAGTTGTGAGCATGCAAAACACAAAGTTTATTCTCGTATTATTATTTATTGATTGTTGTATTTTCCATACAAACAACTGTAAACCTACTTTTGCTCCACCCTGTATGGTGTTAGAGGGAGAC